TTTCATTGTATGGAAAAGAGCAGCCTAAACATTCTTTATAGTATCTCATTTTGTGTTCCACAGAATAAAGAAAATTAGGGTGAATAAATAATGACAGAAGTTTTTATTTTTGTCAGTGATCCTCTCCATTTTCAGCGTTATGCAACCCATTAATCTTTTACCTTTCACCTTTTTTGGAAATATCTGTGGTTTGCCAAACATAACACATATGTTAGATCAAACTTTTCCAGCTGTGACTCTGCGTGTTTACTCCAGAATTGCAGAGCTGTATTAAAGGAACACTTACTGACTGTTTCTGCTCTTCATCCTGTCAGCCAGAAGATGAGAGATGACAGTGAGTGAAAACAGACACGTCAGAGAAACAGCGGTGGGAGAGAGAAAGGTGAACCAAAAAAAAAGAGACAAAAAGTGACCACAGAACGAGAAAACAAATGAAGTTTTCATACATGCCGTGGGGAATGAAGAGCCAAATTGTTGTCCAACAAGTTTCGTACCTTCAGCAGCCTCATGAGACTTTCCAGCTGGACCATTAGTTCTCTCCTGCTCTCCTGCAGGGCCGACATGCGCCTCTCCAACTCATCTTTTCTGTGCCTGAACCAAATGACAGACAAAATGAATCATCATATGAATCATAAAAATCAATGATTGCCAAATAGACACGACTTAAAGGGCACATATGATGGAAAACAGGATTTTCTTTGCTCTTTTGAAATCAAAAGCTCCTTGTACTATGTTCATAATGCAAAGCTCCCTCCACAACCCACTCATACAATTTATAAAACCTCTAAGTGGGAAAAATGGCTCATGCTAAAATGGTATTGACTTCAGAACCACAAGTAAAGGACATTGCATATACTATTCTTAAAGGTAGAGAACCAAAAACAAAGCTTTTATAATATAATGGTAATAATGGATAATGGTAAAATGTAAAACTAAATTACGAAATCTTGATTAACATTAAAAAATCAAGACAAAAGTGCAAAATATGACCCCTTTCCACTCAAGTCCTACATGAAATCGATTGGATTGCTCAGAAATGCACATAATGTGGCTAAATATCCATGAAACTAAAACAAAGTGGGCAAAAACAGCACATAATGGAAATGTGCTCATTCACTCATCTAATGAGACCAACATATTATTAAGAAAACTAATTTGGCTCCTACATGCCCTCTGGTGCCCATTAAAGGTACTCCGTTTAAATGACTTGAACAATGAGTGAAATCCCACTCAGTTTATTTAAAACCTGTTATGTTCCTAATAACTTCAAATGTGACCCTGGACCACAAAACCAGTCTTAAGTCGCTTGGGTATATTTTTAGCAATAGCCAAAAAAACATTGTATGGGTCAAAATTGTCGATTTTTCTTTTATGCCAAAAATCATTAGGATACTAAGTAAACATCATGTACCATGAAGATATTTAGTAAATTTCCTACCGTAAATATATCAAAACTTAATTTTTGATTAGTATTATGCGTTGCTAAGAACTTAATTTGGATAACTTTAAAGGCGATTTTCTCAGTATTTTGATTTCTTTGCACCCTCAGATTCAGCTTTCAGATGATGTATAAATCTCAATTTCAAAAAATTGACCCTTATGACTGGTTTTGTGGTCCAGGGTCACAAATGTTCTGAAACACTCTGGTTAACTGAAGTTATGGGTAATTTGAAGTTGAATGCTTCCTCTTTACAACTCTGATTAATTCTACATCCATTCAGTTGTTGTTGTTTTTTTTGTACATGCGTGTATAAAGGCTATGTGTGAATGTGTTTGTGTACCGTAGCAGCCGTAGCTCTGCCAGTAGAGTGGGGTTCTGCTGGGCTTTCTCAGGGGTGGGTTGAGAAGCCTGTTCATGTTCTAGACGTAGACGCTGGATTTCCTGCAGTATCTCCCTGTAGGCACCAAACACAGTAACCAAAATTAACTTCACTGGCACCTATAGAAAGCACTCAATTCTAATGTAACACAGTCTCTGTAATCACTTTTGTCTTCATTAATAATAATCATTATTATTATTATTTAATTGTAATTAAAAAATATTAATTCTAAATAATAATTAAATATTTAATTTAATGATTTAATTTAATTTTTGAAGTGGACCATTGACACTCCTAATTGAGATTGTAGATAGAGTGTCAATGGTCCATTGGAGAGATAGGGGGCGGTAATGCACTTATAAGTCTGCGATCTGCCGTAAAGCAAGAAGAAGAAGAAGACGCATCACGCGCTGTTGAGAGATAGGTGGCGGTAATGCACTTATAAGTCTGCGATCTGCCGTAAAGCAAGAAGAAGAAGAAGACGCATCACGCGTCGGCTGTTGAGAACGCGCTCAGGAGGACGCGCTCAGGACAGTTCAGACATTGCATGAATCAGAGGTAAAAAAACTATATAAATACTGTTCAGTTTCTTGCACAGACCAATCGCTTTGTGTCTTTACACATCAATGTATCGTCACGAGCCGCAGGGTTTAATTTGGTTTTGTTTGTGTATGTTTTTTTTTTGTTTTATTGTATGTTTTAGCCGTGATTCCCATTCACTTCCATTATAGGACTGACAGACTGCAACGGTTCATGTTAAAAATCTTTGTTTGTGTTCTACTGAAGAAACAAAGTCACCTACATCTTGGATGCTCTGGAGGTAAGCAGATAAACATCAAATTTTCATTTTTGGGTGAACTATCCCTTTAAGTTTTGTTTGAATAATTGAATATATTACAACAATAATAATAGTAATTATTATTATTACTGCTGTTACTATATAATTTAACTGTTAATAATATTTAAATATTAAATGTTTTTATTGGTTGAATAATTAAATATATTACATGATTACAGCATTTCAATTATTGTTATTCTTTTATGGGACAGTAAACATGAACACATACTGACTTATTTTAATTTAGCTTAAAGAGATGTAGTTCCATTGCAAAGCAAGAAACATCCAACTATTCAAAACTCCACCTGTTTTTATTCTCTAGTTCTGCGATGAGCTGCCTCTGTTGCTTATTAGCATCAAAGTTGAAACTCAGATCAGTTGGAGGGCATTGCTGAAAGACAAAATAATTAGTATTACTGATTATGCGCAAAACTAATTAGAAAGATGCCGATAAATGAACACATAAAAAAATACGTTGCCTAGTTATGGAGCATAAACATGCTGTAGATTTTCATTAATTCCACACAGTAAATAAAAAGTGTCCTCTGAAAACGTCATCAACAAGGTGTTTTTCTTTTCTTTCCGTTGTATAGTATTGGTGTAATTTGAGTGTGTTTGTGAGTTGAGTCTCACAGTGGAGTTGCTGGCCTCCGCTGCCAGACGAGCAGCATATCGCGCGATAAGACGATGTTCTTCATCCAGTCTGCTGGGACTCTCAAGGGTGCTACTGTCCAGACAGAGAGACAGAATAAGAAGAAATACATACAGCAAGAAGAAGAGAGGCAAAGAGAGTGATGGAGCATGAGACGGATGATGGCAGATGTGAATTCCAGAAATCAACACGAGTAATGAAACATCGGAGATGATAGATGACCATCAGGAAACAGTTTTGGGGAAGATACTCTAAAACGTGGCTGCTCAAGCTATAAGCTACTCATAGTTCAAAGCAACTTAAGTACAGCCATGATACATAATATAATTTATTATAATACTATTATACTCTATTAATAATATAATATAATACTTAGCTGCATTTACCTGAATTGATTACATACAAAGTCAAGATATAATATAATATAATATTACAAAAATTGTGATTTTCAGTACATTTTGTCATTGTTAATTGAATTTTAGTGATTTTATATTCATTTAATTTTTTATCATTACATTAGATTATTTATAATAGATCAGTATTAGCATTTTCATCCACCTTAAACCTTCAGAGCAGGTACCTTGTGTCTGAGTGGATGTAGAACGCAGACGTGTGCAGTGGATAGGCTCTGGTAGTGTGGCTGGCTCTTATGTTATAGGGTTTGGCATATTGCTGGAGCAGATGACGGAGCATATGTTTTCCTTCCTCATTAAGTGCTCTACAATTAGGAGTGAATCACGTGTGCATGTGTGAATGTGTATGTTCTGTGAGTTAAGACACCTCACAAAAACACACATTCATCAAAATGCACACACTGCATTCATCAATCAAATGTAACACAACTATTATATTAGTCTGATAATACAATAGGATAATAAATGGCTTGCATAGAGTTGGACTGCTGTGTCAGTCCCTGTGGCCCCGCCACCGTGACCTTCCTGAACTCTCACAGTCTCAGCGGAGTGATTCATTAAGTGGGTTGTTTCCATGCCAGACGTGTCACAGACAGACATGCTGTTTATAATAATCAGTGTCATGCTGAGAATGATCCACTGGAATCCTCTTATTGATATGGCACCCTGGCCATTATATTGACACTTAAAGGTGCTCTGGGTAATTTTTTCTCATTAAAAAGCTTTACACAAAGAAATGAGGAGCACTTTCAACAAATAGAGGGTATGTTCAAAATGATGTGCACTAAAAAAACATAGCAGTGCATAGCAGGGGACTAAAAAAAAAAAAACCCTCACTTGGTGGAAATGATGTGGGTGAATAGCTGTGTCCTAGGAGAAACAAATGGGTCTTCCTCAAATGTTTTAACTGGAAATATGCCCCTGCAAACTTTTATAATAATAATGCATATAACATTATAATAATAATTCAATTATATTAAACTGTATTCGAAATATTAAACATTACTAAATTAAAATAATATAATTATTATTATTACAACATGTAACATTAATAATAATAATAATAATGGTGATTGTGACGATTATCATTTATTGTTATTTTATTATTACATTACAACAATATTCAATTATTAAAATTGCATTTGAAACATTACAATGTAAAAATAACATTAAAATATTTTATTTATTATTACATATAACATTAGACAAATATTCAATTATATTACATCTGTATTTTAAATATTAAAATGTACTAAAATTAAAATAATTATTATGTATTATCACAACAACATTACACATGCAACATTACAGTAATATGTAATTATTAATGTTATTCTGAATATGTAAGTTTTATTCCAAATCAAATTATCAAATTACTCAAATTAAAATTATTATATATAAATAATATGATAATAATAACAATGATGATGATCATTATTATTATTACAAAAATATTCAATTATTAAAATTGCATTTGAAATATTAAAAATTACTAAATTAAAATTTTAATAATAATTATTTATTATTATTATCATTAGATATTAAATTACAGTTAACATTAAAATATGCAATTAGATTATTATTATTATTATTATTATTTAGCACACACTTGTGCTTATAAAAGTGCATCTAAACAAAACAAAGCAAACCAATTAATACAATAACAAACACAATCTAAATTTTATAGACCGATCATAACAATGGAGTCTAATGTGTGTGATCCACCAGCCACACAATGAGTACAAGAGAAAAAGTCAAATGTCCAAACATGCAGTCCCTTATGGAAAATTAAAAATGGGTGGCACATAGCTTCCATGCTTCCTCTATACAGTCCAAAAATGGGAAAATACTATCAAAAACAGATCACAACTTTATTACCAAAATAAAATTATATACGGTAGCTAGAAGTGACAGTGTGAACATCTGTCATTATGATAAATATTAACAAACTACTTCATATAATTATTAGTTTGTCAAAAGAATATAAAAGTCATATAAACGTCACAAACATTTTACATTCTAAATGGACCTGAAGGGGAAAAAAATGTAATGTAAAATAAAAATAAAAAGCATACTCTGACCTCTTCCAATGCAAAAGTGGATAAAGGACATGGAAAGCATATCAACATTCTCTGTACAGCTAGACTGTGATAGAGGTGGAGTCTATGATTTCATATCCAGTGACTGGTGGTCAATACTCACTTAACTTCAAATTAAAAACTCATTCGGAGCAAATGGAAAATTATATTTCTGTTCTGGCAGCAAGACTGGCCATGACCCAGCAGACGATAAATTCTACACAAGGCCACATGTCCTTGAAGGCCCGACTGGAGAGGTGCACCATCAGCAGAGAGACTCGCTCGCGAGCTCATTGTCCTGCCTACAGCTCTGATGTTCCTACAAGGCCATGCAATCGCACCCAAAATGAGTTAGAGAGAGAAAGAAAAACTTCTTATGAAGGTTCAAGGCCCAAAAAGTTTTGCACAGAATCTTGTTGTTGATGATTTGAGAAGATAGAGAAATCAAGGGTTGTAATATTTTTTTTTTTTACATTTTTCTTCAAAATACACACTCATTAAAATGTATATATAGATATATATGTATACACACACACACACACAAATTATTCAATAGCAATAGACTTGATTATACTGCTCAATTTGAAACAAGAACACATGGTGTTAAAACACGTAATGGTTTTCATTAAAAACATTTTGTAAAAAAAACAAACATTTACATTAATGCACTGTAACATTTATGATCTTTTTGTGTTCCATTGTGTTTTTCCTGTGACCCAGTTCTGATTAGTTCATTCTGCACACCTGTTATCTTGTCAATTATGTCCTTAATCCCAGCGTTTAAATATCCTTCTAGTCCCTGTTCGAATACGTTTACATTTTATGTTTGGTTGTTTCCCTTGAGATGTCTATTAAAGTTGATTCCTGTATGTATTCCTTCGTCATGCGATTCCTTACTACAGCCAAACACGTGACACCCACTTAATAGCAAATAAAAACATTATAATTAATATTAGAGAATACATTTCAGTCTTATACCATATGTATTATCTAGCTGTTAATTATAGTATACAGTAATTCATTGAAATCTTCATTGCTGATGAGTCAAATCTAGTTATATATATATATATATATATATATATATAATCTAATGCAGTGTTTCCCAACCTGGATATTATATAATAGATGTTTTTTTGAACATTTTAGCAATTTAAAAATATTAAAAAAGGATTTTTTACACGGCACCCCTGCTCTCGACAGACGGCACCCCAGGGTGCCGCGGCACCCCGGTTGGGAAACACTGATCTAATGCAGTAATTTTTCTCGTGCCTTCTCTTTAATCGGGCTGTTAGACTATAAGGATTGGCCATAAGGTTTATAGACGTGGCTGCTTGCCACTTGTGCGTCACCCAGATCACGTCCCAGGTTTGTACCAAGTGTCACTACTGAAATGAAACAAGATGATGATTTTGTAACTGTGTGCAAGTGTACATAAATCTGTCTGCTTTATAAACTGCATGAGCAATGTCATTTTGGAAAGTCATCTTCATCAAGCTGTAATGCACAGCATTGCTGTCCAAACAAAATATAATCACGGTTTACAACATGGCAGACATCAGCAATGTCAAAAGTTCTGGTACTTCAGTATACTAAGATTATATATTTAAAAGAAAAATGTTCAAAACCAAACTTTTTCAGTACTTTGGTAATACAGAGACTCATTTTCCACAGCCACGGTACTGAAACACGGCTGCTTTCCAAATTTATCACAACCATTCAAAAGTTTGAGGTCAGTAACATTTTTTAAGCATCTGATACTTTTATTCAGCAAGGACACATTAAATTAATTAAAAGTGACAGTAAAGACATTTATAATGAATTTCTATTTCAAATAAATGCTGTTCAACTTTCTATTCATCAAAAACTCCGGTAAAAATTTTATCAAGGTTTCCACAAACAAAATATTAAGTAGCACAACTGTTTACAACATTGATCATAATAATAAGAAAATAAGAAAATCATAATATTAGAATGTTTTTCTGAAGGATCATGTGACACTGAAGACTGAAGTAATGATGCTGAAAATCCAGCTTTGCATCACAGAAATAAATAACATTTTAAAATATATTCAAATAGAAAACAGTTCTTTTAGGTTGTGATAATATTCCACAATATGACTGTTTTTACTGTATTTTTGATCAAACAAATGCAGCCTTGGTGAGCATAATAGAATTCTTTCAAAAACATTTTAAAACATCTAACAGATTCAAAACTTTTCGAGCTTTTGATAACTCTTTATATACCTCAGCAATTAATCATTTAAAGTAATAAATAATTAGTTATTATTTATATTCATATTTAACTTTTTTAATCTGTGGAAGAAAATAGGTAACTAGAATTGTGAAAATGTACTTGTGCTGTTATAAAATTGTATCTTAATCACTAACCACCGACACTCTAATTGAACCTGTTGCTAAATGGACTGAAATAGCGCTTGAGTTCCAGTAAAGTGTTCTTTGCCAGATCACAGTAGTCTGCTGCATCCTCCATATAACGAAGAATTTATCACCGGCCTGAAAGATCGGGAATTGCATTCATTACAGATTTTGTTGATGCACTTGCAGCTTTACCTGATTTGCAT